GAGCGGCCCTCTGAGGTACTTTGTCTCTTCCTGTCCAGAGAAAAGAAGAGTGATAAAAATTGAAGATGCTTGTCAATAATGACCATCAGTCTCCATGACCCTGACAACAGACGAATTAGATGGTGCCTGGCTACCACTACCAACTGCTCCGAAAGGGATCCCATTAGAAGGTCCTGGATAAAGTAGGAGCAAATGTGGAACAAAACTCAAAATCATGAAAAAGACCAGGTTTACTGGTCAGCTAGAGACTGGTAGAGCCCTGAGACTATGATAGCCTTTGGTCACCTTTAGGTCAGGAACTGAACTCACCCCGGTGGCTAAATTTTCAATCAAACAACAGACAGGTACACAGGGACGACAACAACTCTATGGGATACACACACCATAGAACAGTCAACCATTCCAGATCAAAAGGGCATCATTTACCTAAGACCAAAATTCACAAGGGTTGGGAAAGAAGGAAGGATGGAAACAAGAAACGCAGGGGGGGGGAAAGAAGGAAGGATGGAAACAAGAAACGCAGGGGGGAAATGGAGCCGTGATGGTATATGGAGGGAATGGCAATCACCTAGATGAACAAAGGGAAGTATTTGTTTCATGTAAAACTGATGATCTGCTCTGCAAACCTTTACTCAATTCACAATAAAAAGCTTCCATCAATAAACAATGTGTTTAATGAAAATAAATGAGAAGGAATATCACACGTAAAAGAGATGGCATTTGGTAAGGATATAATTTAAATACTGACAGTTAAAATTATGAGTCTCAAGTCTGTTCCCTGTCTAGGCTTTATTCTAATCCATCATCTGTAAATTGGAACTCACCAATAACCTTTACTTTGTGTCCTTTTGAACAAAGACGCTGTATATACTTTTCTACATTTGACAGGGCCACAAGGTATCTTGGAACAAATGCAAACTATTAGAAGGGGATTCTGGTTCCTGCCAAGATGGTGTGCTAGCATGGGCTGCTGGCTCCCTTCCCAAAAATCAACTCTGCAGAAAACAGTAGAAGCAAGGGAAATGTGAAATCCAGAAACTAAACAACAACAGAGAGAGCAATCCCTGGGGAGAATGGCTGCATGTGTCTTGAAATGGTGAATGTGTGCGAAGTGGGCACTTGTACCTGGATGAAAGGGTACAGGAAGCAGCAGGGAGACATAGGCTGGAGAAAAGCTCTTTCGGATCCATCCTTGCTGTCCCGACCCCATCTGCACACCTATCCCTTGCCTATTTATTGCTGCCTCGTTGTAGGACTACAAACTACGAATGCCAGTGTCTGAGAATTAGTATCAGCAGAGCACAAAAATCTGGATCAATTGAGGACTTGATAAAAGCAGGTGCTTTTATTAATACCTGGAAGAATAAATATCTCTGAAATCCAAGGAGATAAGATTTTTTTAAATCTCCAAATCATACCTGTGCCAGTGTACATATTTTCTGATATATTTGCTGATTTCTTTCTAAAAGGGACCAAATTTCAAGATCCCCCTAAAATCCTAAATTTGAGGGTTTGACCTCCCAAAGACTGGAAATCAGTTCAAGTCAACTTGACCTCTGATTAGATAAAGGTGATGTGCCCCCAGCCAAAGGCCTGTCAGATGCAAAAGTAAGTCCTTTTCTAAGGAAGTTATCATCCTGAACCATAAATTATTTCTGCACTTCTTAAATACAGTATCAAACATCCAGCGAAAAATAACCGAGCATAACAAAACATCCAAATAACTGAAAACAAAGTGCATAAGAGCAAGAAAGAGACCCACAGGAGAACCAGGAATCCTGGTTATCAGACAGAGGTTTTGATCACAAGCATGATTATCAATATGGGCAAGAAGGAGCATCTATTTTTTAAAAGAAGAGTCAAATGGAAATTCTAGGTCAGAAAACTTATTTTAAAATTTTAATTGATTGCTTGTCAGAAAATTAGATATAGCCAAAGACAGATTTACTCAGTGAAAAAGGAAACTAAGTCAATAGAAAATACCCAAACACATAGAGACAAAAGGATATAAAATACAGAAAAAAACATGAAAGAGCTTTGGGACAAGATGAAAAGGTCTAACTTACGTGTGATTGGAGTTCCAGAGGGCAATGAAAGATAGTACCAGAGTGATATTTAAAGAGACAGTGGCTATGAAATAAAGTATTATTCAATAAATGTAAAACTGATGATCTCTGTAAACCTTCACTCAATTCATAATAAAAAGTTTCCCCCAAAAAAACTATATATATAGACAATGGCTGAGAATTTTCTAAAACTGAGAAGAGAAATGACATCACATGTTCAAGAAACCTCAGAGGACATTCTTTTAAAATCAACCACACACACACAGACAAGCCCTGGTGTGGCACCGTAGGATAAGCATTGGACTGGTAACCACAAGGTTAGCAGTTAAAACTCACCAGCTACTCCCGGAAATCCTACACAGGATTGCTATGAGTCAGAACCGACTCAACAGCACACAACAGCAACACACAGACACACAGATGCATCACTGAAAAACATCTGAAAGTTAAGAGGAAATTGAGAGGAAGCGTGAAGACAGAATTTTACAATGCTCATTCGATTGAGAACATCAGTAATCGTGACAAGCACGCTTCAGTGAAATCATGGAGGGAAATACATTCGATAGAAGACAGATGAAAAGAACCAAAATGCCCATCAATTCAAACAAACAAACATGATGTCATTAAACAGACTTTTACTCCTAGCAACTTCATAAGACATGTAGAACTGCCCAACAGCGTGTCTTTTTACAGAAGCATACTACCACATCTTTCTACCACAGAGCACTGGGTGGGTTCGAACCACTGAACCACTGTACTACCACAGCTCCTTTTTGTCCATCAACAGTACAATGGATAAACTAATTGCGTTACACTTAAACAATGAAAAACCATACAGCAGTGCAAATGAATGAATTCTAGCTCAAAAATCAGCATGGATGAATCTAAAAAACACTACAGAATAAAGCATATGAATCTAAATTTATATAGCTAAACAACAGAAAAAACGAAACCAGATTGTATTGAGGGATGCCTACATCACTGGAGGAAAGTAAAAATAGAAAAGCAAGGGGAAAGATAACACCAAATTTGGGATAGTGGTTAATTTTCAGGAGAAAGGGAGGAAATAAGTTTATGAAGGGGCACAACAGTGGGGTTTTAGGATTTGGCCAATGTTCTATTTCTTGGTCCTGGTGGTAAGTACAAAGGTACATTTTCTTCTTCTTATTAAACATATTTTGTACATATGCCTAATGCATACCAAAAATACAAGGAACTCAAATATTTCATCAAAACAACAAGATGAAGACGTTGGGAAAACAAGTGTAGGCAAGTCTTTTGAGAAGTTATACCAAGAAGAGGAGCAAAGGGCAGTAGCTGGAAGGAGAGATGGGCCAAAGGGAGTTCTTTGAAGGATCTGTATACTGACAACGAGGAATCACAAGCCAGCAGAGTTCAGGAAAAGGCCTTAAGGGACTAAGAGTGGTCGGGTCTGGTGCCCCGGGCCCTTTGTAACAACTGGAGGAATGAGAAGGAGGTGAGGTTGACAGTGGAACATAGGCTTGGCAGCTGTATCCCATGGTTCCATTAGCTCAATGAACTAGGGGCCATCAGATGAGAGAATAAGCAGGGTGGTGGGGTGTGTGGGGAGAGGGTGTAAAACTGCTATATCTGGAAACGAAAAGACAGCCTACCAAAATTGCCAGGCGATCTGACAGCTCATTTGAAATTTATAATTGAATTCGAAGACAAGTGGATTGGGTCAGTTGGGATCTTTTTTCTGGATGCTTACAGTCTGCTCAGGTGCAGGTAGAGTCAGCTTACTAGTGGTGAGGTTCACCACGTCAGGGTGCTTCTGTGGTCCCATCTAGTGGAACTTAACACAATGGTGGGAATGATCTATCAAATTGCTGTCCAATATGGTAGCCACTAGCCACCCGTGGCTACTAAGCACTTGAAATGTGGCTAGTGGAAGTGTGGCAGTGAATCTGTAAGCTTATTTCATTGTAACTGATTTAAATAGCCATGTACGGTTCGTGGTTACTGTATTAGATAGTACAGCCTTAAGGAGTAAGACCTTTTCAGGGGCGCAGGAAGGATGCTGGGGGAAGAAGGAGAGAGAAATGGGAGTAACGACAGCTGCCTTGCTGTGGTCTGGGCACCGGGAAGCAAGGTGTGCATCTATCAGAGTGCCAGCCACATGGTCATAATGATATAAATGCATGCTGAGTGGAGGGTACGAGAATGGAGGGAACAATGGAGACTGGTAGAGGACAGGGACCTGGGAAATGAAGACTCCAAAATAACCACACTGCTGTCAAATCGATTCCAACTCATAGAGACCCCAGAGAAGAGTAGACATGCTCCTTAGGACTTCTGAGATTATAAATCTTTACAGGAGCAGACAGCCCCCTTGTTCCCTCTGCGAGTGGCTGGTGGATTCGAACCACCAACCTTTTGGTGAGCAGCCCAAAAGCACTCTGGGAGTCCCTGGCAAGCCATCAGATGTACATTCAAAATAATAACAATGACAACAACATCCCTATGGTGCTCACAAGTTTGTTATGAGGTTAGACAGTTATGAACAGGTTCTTAGAATCGGGAAGGCTGGGTGACGTTAGACAAATTCTTTAATAATTTCATAGATATTACTACTTGGTAATGTCTCCTCCCTAAGACGTTTTCATGCGTCATGTGGGATAAAGTGTGTAAGAAACTTAGCAGAATCATACTCAGTAAGAGCTCATTGAAGATCTGGCTATCATTAGCAAGATGAGCTTGTGGCTGTTAAAGTGTCTGTAAGACAGAACTCTCTACTGCACCCTAGTGAGACTCCACTGAGTCAACAAGCAGGCTTCGGCCTGGTCTCAGCACAGCGTCAGATTGAGTGTTACTGGTCACATGGAACTCACCTGAACACCATACTCCTTGTTCAGGTTCAAAGTGCACGCAGGAGTCTCCACGGCTAAGGTCCACTTCCAGATGCAAACTTTCTGTAAGAGACAGCAAACAGGGAAATTAAATCATCTCTCAAGGCTACTGAGGCACCTCCTGCCTTTACTGTTGGCTTTGGCTCTCTAAGCAAAGTTCCATGAACCTCCCCTGAGAACACTGCAGGTGCCATGCAGCTGAGCAGAGCTGCCCATGGTGACACCTTGACGGGATGACCAGCCCACCAGGCAGTCCCCATTACCTGGACTTTACCATCCGAGATAGTGGCCAGATACTTTGCGTCTCGGGTGATGGCTATCGCCCCGATGCCATCACCTTCCGGGCAGCTGTCAAATAGCGTGTGCACAGGGATGCTGAAAAACAAGACAAAGTAAGACAAGCATTTGCTGAAGTAGAACAGGCTTCCTAGACCAGTTCTGCTCATAACAGTCAAAAGATACAAACAACCCAAGTGTCCATCAACAGACGAAACGTGGTCTACGCACGCAAAGGAACATTATGCGTTAGAAGGAATGAAGTTTTGGTGCATGATGCAGCATGAATGAACCGTGAAGTCTATGCTGCATACATGTGTAGGTACAGGTTGATACAGGTGTCTACACAAGTGAGAACAGAAAGAAGTATTTATGTGTAAGTGCAAATATAGACATGTGTGGGCAGGTATAGATAGTCACTGAAGACACAAACTACAGATATTCTCCGATGTGACCAAACACCTTGTGAGAGAGGTTTTCTAGTTTGATGGTGTAGCACCATAATCTCAGGTGACAACTCAGTCAACTGGCAAAATACAGTTCAAAGTCCATGCTCTGCATGCTAGTGAAGAGTGAGCAGTCAGCTAAAATACAACTATTGGTCTATACTCAACAGCGACCAAAATCTCAGTGAAGACACAAGTCTTCATAAGTCACAATGAAGTCTCGCCATCCTGGCTTCTAAGCAGCACTCTGGCTGTACTTCTTTCAACACAAATTTGTTTGTTCTTCTAGCAGTTCATGGTACTTTCAATATTCTTCACCAACACCATAATTCAAATGCATGAAATCTTCTACAGTCTTCTTTATTCATGTTTTGACATGCATGAGGTGATTGAAAATACCATGGTTTGGATCAGTTTCACCTTAGTCCCCAAAGTGACATCTTTGTTCTTTGATACATTAAAGAGGTCCTTTTGCTGCATGCAGATTTGCCCAATTCAATGTTCATTTGATTTCTTGACTATTGCTTCCATGGGTGTTGATTGTGGGTCCAAGTAAAATGCAGTCTTTGAAAACCTCCACATTTTCTCTATTTATCATGATGCTGCTCACTGGTCCAGTTTTGAGGACCACAGCCTAGGAAAGCCCAAGAGGACAATTCTACTCTGTTCTATAGAGTCACTATGACTTGGTTGGAATCAACTCAATGGCATACAACAACAACAAACACACATGCTGCATCCTGATTATGTGTGTGTTTATAAGTACAGAAGAAAGTCTGAAGGAATAGACTCTAACCTGTGAACCCTGGTGACTGGGGAAACAGGGCCAGGGGGAGGAGGGACTTTCGTGTTAGGCTTACACATCCCTGCTCTGTGTGCAAGGCATTAGAATTGGAAGAGTTAGACAAAAGCTGGGTAGCTGGAGAAATGAATTGAACGGCAATAAACTAAGAGAGTCACAGAATGACTCTGGTAGAAGTCAGTTGTCACCGTGGTGGAGTGCTGACTCCCATGAGAAGGGAATAAAAACACTCAGGAACGTGGGCTACCTGACCACCCATGTGTCCTTGTTGGAATGGATGCAAACAGACTTCACTATGTCATATCAGGGTCCCTATCGACTGGAACAAATTCTGTGTCCCGGCTGATGGCCCCTCTGTGTCTCTATCACCTAAGAAACTTTATCAAACTAAGAAACAGCCCCAAGGTTTCTTGGGAAGGCAATTCCGAAATTGTGGAGCATGACGTGCTGGTAGCCTTAGTGGGAAAACGTATCTTATCCCTGGGGGTACTTAGGATGACACAAAGAAAACATGAAGTCAGTGTCATAGACTGAACGGTGTCCCCTTGAAATATGTGTCAGCATCCTCCGTGGATTGACAGTTACCTAAAATGTAATGTGGCCATTATGTAATGACTCCATGATTCAATCTGATGCAAAAAAACAGTCAAAGAATTCAGGGTGGGTTGCAACACCCTTAATCCCATTCCCTGATCCAATGTAAGGGGCATTTCCCTGGGATGTGGCCAGCAACACCTTTTATTTATAAGTTATAAAAGGAGATAAAATTAAGCACAGAAAGGGGGACCTACAACCAGCAAGTCAGAAGAGCCTGGAGTGGAGGTCCCTGCACTGTGAAGTTTCTAAATCCAGGAGATGATTGATGCCAAGACACATGGAGCTCTACAAGGAGTACTGAGTCTTGAGATGTGGAAAGGAGACAGAGTCCATAAACAGAGAAAGAAAGCCTTTCCTCAGAGCCAGCACTCTGAATTTGGACTGGCTTCCTAACCCGTGAGAGAATCAATTTCTGTTTTTTAAAGCCATCACTTGTATTTCTGTGATGCTGTTGTTGTTGTTGTTAGGTGCTATCCAGTTGGTACCGACTCATAGCAACTTTATGCACAGCAGAACAAAACACTGCCCAATGCTGGGCCAACCTCACTATGCTTGAGTCCATCAATGTTGCCACTTGGCCAATCCATCTCGTTGGGGG